TGCCAACGGCTCCTCCACTGCGGCGCTAGTTTTTCACGATCATCCTGTGGGTACAGAACTTTATTAACTAGTTGTGGAAGGTAGGTTGCTGCCACCTTATATCCACCTATTTTTTCATAAAACTCATTAAAAACGATCGCTTACTGATCTATCTCCTATCTGTTTTTTCCACAGGCTTTGCCCACACAGGACCATTTTATTACACTCTGGGTGAACCCCTTTCCTTAAGTGGTATAATTACAGTGTGGTTTGTTTTTTACCAAATTTGTCTGACTGACCATTTTTATTTTCCTCCTGTGGGTGAACCCCACTTACTTATTTAAAGTACATATTATGTACAATAGTTGTGTGGCTGACACCACCTACTGAATACACTGCTGTGTGCATATTTATGTGGCTAACACCACTTTACTTTATTTTGTGGGTGACCCCCATTACTTACAGTACATTATATATACACATTATATATATTATTGGTGTAATTTTATAGTGGTGACCCCACCTCAGTATCTGTACAATATTTCCTATTGTTCACAATCTGTATTATTGGGTGACCCCCATTAATTATCCTTTACTATTTTATTGTGCCAAGCATTTGTGGGTGACCCCCATTGTTTGACGTCTCGTGGGTGACCCCCCACCTCATATTTTTCTAATTGAGTTGCCTCATCCTTAATTGATACTCTTTAATCTATATATATATATATAGAGATAGTTGTTATTAGAGTTCACATTTATCTTTAAATTGTCATTATGTCAGATCGCCAAGACCCTGCGATCTCTGCTGAACTTAAGGAATGGCTTTTCTCAACTATCGCAGAGTCCATTCCTAAGGCTCTGGCAGCCTACCATGAACGTAATCCAGAGGTACACCCCTCTACACAACAGCCCTCTGACTCTGAGGACTCCCATATCTCCGACCAAGATAGCGCCCCGCGCAAAAGACCCTGGAAAGGGAATAGCGCTACTGCGGGCAAGGGCAAAGCTCCTGCTAAGGTCATTAAACATGCTAAGCCCTATGTTTCACAGGATGTTACAGACCCTCTAGAGGGTTCTACTTCACGTTTATCTGGCCATATTCTAAGTGACTATGACCCCAATTACTCTGATGAGGATCCCATGGTGAATGTGCCCCAGGATTCCTCAACATCGGAGTTCGTGAAAGAAACTTTCCTAAATCAAGATCACAAGAGTAAGGTACCTGAATCAGACACCCTCCTGGATGCTTCAGGCCTTCCACTTTTTGACCCAAGGGTGATACGCCACCCACGCTCAGCAGAATGGGCTCCCCCAGATCATATTGCTAATTTCTGTAAACTGTGGCTTCGCAAGCCCCTCGAAAAAGAAATCAGAAACAAACTAAGGGCTGAATGCCCGAGACCTACTATCCCAGGCAAAGTTGCCTCTACCCCTGAATTTGACCCCATGTTGGTCACCTATTTAACAAAATCTGGTAAAGACCCTCGGAAGGGTATTGAACAGGGTTTGAAAGCAACCCAAGACAAATTATTGGACATTTCAGGTCCTATCATACAAATATTTATACTCGCAGATGAGGCACTCACCAGCGGTGAATTAGACCCGCATATTATAAGAGAATGGGCGCAGAGAGCCCTTTGCCTTCTGGGCAACGCCAATACGGCTATTTCAATTGAGAGACGCAAAGCGACACTGTACAAAATCGATGCCAAACTAGTGGATTTGAGCACTAAAGAACTAGGCCCAGAGGCCGATGGTCTTTTATTTGGTAACAGTTTCATGCGAGACCTCTCCAAGCATGTCTCAGTTTTTACCACACTCAATAAAGCCCAATCCTCCCTACGTAGGGTGTTCCGTCCCACTTTTCAAAATCGTTTTTCTGGGAGAGCTGGTCGCTCAAGGGGCCGAGCTACCAGTAGAGCAGCCTTTTCAGGCTACAGGCCCCGACCCACAGAGTATTGGTCCACGGGATACTCACGACCCTACCACAGGCAGCTGTTCAACACCAGAGGCTCAATTCGAGGACGTGGCTCTGCATCCCTACGCGGACGCACTGCTTCAGGTAATGGACCTTGCTTATTTAAAAACTGTATCAATCGCAGGTCGATTAACATTCTTTTTCCCACAGTGGAAACTTCTTTCTCAGGATCTTTGGATCCTTCATACAGTCACAGGTTTCAAAATAGATTTTATCACACATCCAGTTCAATATTCTCATCCGACACCCTTAGGGATGTCAAAGGCAGATACTCTAACCTTGAACACAGAACTGACAAAATTGTTACACAAAGGGGCGATCGAACCTTCGCCTTTCCCTTGCACCTTCCTCAGCAATATATTTCTGGTTCGGAAAAAAACGGGGGACCACCGTCCCATTATCAACCTCAAGGCGTTGAATCACTTTATCACATACCGTCATTTCAAGATGGAAGGTATCCATCTTCTCAGGGACTTGCTCTGCATGGGAGACTGGTTCTCCAGATTCGACCTCAAAGATGCTTATCTGACGGTCCCTGTAGCACCAAGTCACCGTGCCTTCCTCCAATTCCGTTGGCAGGGCGACATTTGGCAGTTCACCTGCCTCCCTTTTGGACTTTGTTCTGCTCCATGGTGTTTCACCAAGTTGATGAAACCAGTCATGGCGCTCCTTCGTTCTCAGGGCATACGTTCAATTATATATTTGGACGATATCCTGATCATGGCACAAGATCAGCAATTACTTCGCACACACACACACATGACCTCTGCCCTCCTTCAAAACCTAGGTTTTGTCATAAATTACCAGAAATCAGACCTGGTACCTTCTCAAATAGTCCAATTTTTGGGTTTTCAGATAGATTCAGTTCAAGCAACTCTACAATTACCCTACTCCAAAATCAAAAACATAAAGCGAGAGATTCAAAAATTACTCAAGTCACAACGACCTCGACTCCGCGACCTAGCACACGTGTTGGGTCTTCTGTCTGCATCAATTCAGGCTATTTTTCCAGGGCCCTTGCATTACAGAGCAATGCAACGGCTGAAAACCTCCTATTTACATCGCTCGACCTCCTACGACCAATTCATTTCCCTAACGGACGAAGTTCTTATCGAACTTCACTGGTGGCTTCGCAATATGGAAGCCTGGAATGGGAAAGCGATTTTCGGATCTCAACCAGATTTTATTCTGGAATCCGATGCCAGCCTACTCGGTTGGGGCGCTACATGCGCCCAATCATACACAGGAGGTCTCTGGTCCCCGTCGGAACGAGCACTTCACATAAATTGTCTCGAGCTCATTGCCGGATCCTTCGCGATCCGCAGCTTTGCCAAAGAAGCCTCCAACTGCTCTCTGGTACTTCGGATGGACAACATCTCCGCAGTACGATATGTAAACCGTCTCGGAGGGTCCAAATCGAAACTACTATCAGACCTCACCAAGGATCTGTATCAGTTTTGCTTAGACAGGAATCTGTCTATTCGGGCCGAGTATCTCCCAGGACCCGACAATTTAGTCGCGGACTGGTTCTCACGTCACTGGAGGGATGCCAGCGATTGGCAATTAGATCCTCTTCTATTTCACCACATTCACCTATTGCGGGGACCGCTCACTCTCGACCTCTTCGCGTCTCGGCTGAATCGTCAAACAGACGATTATTTCAGCTGCTTACCAGACCCTCTATCCCTAGCTGTCGACGCTTTTCTCCAACATTGGCCACGGGACGGAGCCTATGCCTTCCCTCCCTTCTCCATGATTCAACGTACTCTCCACCAGGTCAAATCACAGAGGGTCAAGATTGTGATAGTTACCCCTCTATGGCGGGCCCAGACGTGGTTCCCCACTCTTCTGGAGCTTTCCACAGACTACCCCATCATTCTACCTCGCTCACATCGGGTTCTCAAGAACTCAACGGGCGACTACCATCCACTAGCTCTACAGGGCCACCTTCAGTTAGTGGCCTGGACAGTTTCAGGGGTGCTTGGCATGTCGCAGGACTTTCAAGCACTGCTCAAACACTCCTATGGGATTCATGGGCACCAGGAACCAGGCGCACCTATCTCGCCGCATGGCGAGTTTGGGTCAGCTGGTGTCTGGAGAGGGATTTCGATCCCTCTTCAACATCTCTCTCATCCATTCTAAATTTTCTATCATCCCTTTTCGATCAGGGTAAATCATACCGATCAATTAATGTTTTTCGTTCCGCCATTTCGGCGGGACATGACCCTATTGATAATTCCTTAGTTGGGAAACATCCTTCTGTGTGCAGACTTTTACGAGGCATTCGTTTGACAAGGCCACCTTCTGCCAAATACTTTGGCTTCTGGGACATATCTCGAGTCTTCGCATTGTTAGAGTCCTGGCCTCCTAACGAGGCCTTATCCCTTCGACAACTCTCTGCAAAATTGGCCCTGCTACTGTGCCTGGTGTCATTCCGCAGAGTTTCTGACGTTCACGCTTTTGATTCACACGCTGTCTCCTTCACACCAGAAGGGGTCCGATTTACGATTACTAGGCGCACTAAGACGAATTCCTCGTCTGTTTTTTATCCATACTTTCCCGACAGGCCAGCCCTCTGTGTGGCTCTGTGTACTCGTTGTTACACAGAGGCAACTGCCGCCCTACGTTCTCCTACCGGTCCCCTTTTCATCTCTTATGTCAGACCTCACAAACCGGTCTCTTCCCCCACTATCGCTCGCTGGATAAGATGGTTACTTATCCAAGCGGGAATCGATAGATCATTTGGGGCCCATTCCGTTAGGGGAGCGGCCGCATCCTCTGCATTTACGGGCCGGCAGTTCATTAGCGGATATTTTGTCCTGCGCAGATTGGTCAAGGGAATCTACCTTTCTGACTTTTTATTTTAAACCAACACAAACACATGCGGCTTGTTCTATTATTCGAGAGCGTTAAAACAGCAAATATGAAGCCTCCTGTCTTGCCATAAAATTAGGGATTATTCTAGCTTTTAGTGAACGAATAATCTGAATTTTATTAAAGACAGGAGGCGAATATTTTCCCTCCCTTCGTTCATTCCGGAACCCACCCTCGAGGTAAGTCTCATACTCAATGATTAATGTATGATACCATTATTTACATACAAACCTGCTATATACGATTTGCTCACCTTGTGGTTATACACCTATCTCATAGAGTACTGATAGATCTTTATAATCTTGATTATTCTGCCAATTCGTATGAACTATAATTGGAAATAGGGGATTCAACTATATATATATATTTTTTCTCTTGTCCGAGAAACCTTACTTTCACGAAGTCTCTTTTTCTTTTAGTGTGAAGATCTCAAGTTTATTCGTTCAACTTTCCGTTTACATGGTTGACTTCATCTCGAGTTTCGGCTTCGGGAACTGTTCCGGTTAAAGTTTACATGGTTGACTTTGCTACTGACTGGCAACATCAAGAAAGAGGAAGTGGGAGGAGTTTGATGACACTATATTGTAGTTGAGATATGTTATGATTGGTTGATTTTTCCATACAACATTGTTAACCATTTCTTTGCTGCTGGGAGTTACAGTAAAGAAAGATAAGCAAATATTCGCCTCCTGTCTTTAATAAAATTCAGATTATTCGTTCACTAAAAGCTAGAATAATCCCTAATTAGATTTATGATTGACATAAAATATCTTGTGCTTGTCAATAAGGTCTGCAATGTTCCTTTATTTGATATTGGCAAAAAACATTAAGTTTAGGCAACAAGACTTGCCTCTGTAACCAAACAACAGATCTGACTGGACATCTAATTTAAAAAATTTTTTTTTTGATTTTAGCTTTCCTTAAGGATTAAACTAATTTGCATCCCATGTAAAATGTTACCGTGAAGGAAAAAAATTTTTTTATAAATAAACAACAGCATCCATCATACTTTACACATTAGAAATAAATATTTGGAAATACATACGTAAGCTGAAAAAATACATCTTCATCCACAAACCCAAAGGTTTCATGGAGCTTGGTCACAACGCCCGTGAAAACACGCTGCTTCTGTGTCTGAGTCTGCTGCTGGCTGGATCGTGGTGTTGGGTATGAAACAGTTATCTGTGCAGCCTGTTGGGGAGTGGACAACGCAAGGCTCGTAGGTAGGGTCACAGTCTGCTACAAAACAGAGTAGATTGTGCTCTTTAACGTAATCTAAAAAAAACCCTGTTATTGATAACTCAAGGTTTAAACATATAATGGCAAGAAATTGAAACTCCCATTCTTATTCTTGGGACCATCGAATAAATCCCAGAGATCTCATGTCTAAGGGTAAAAAAATAAATAAAATAAAAAAGTAATGCAGAAATACCGGTATCCAAAGTTTAACATTTCCTCCCCCCCACCCCCCCACCCCACTAGAGTGGAAACAATGGAGGAATGACAAATTTACAGCAAAATAACCAAACCTGAGAAACTCTTCAACTCTCCATAACTTTTTTATTTTTTTATTTTTTATTATTAAAGTGAGTATTGTCAGGAATTTAAAGGGAAATTCTCATTTATGGCAAAGTAGCCAAACTAGAATATCTGAATTCCAGTTTGGCTATTCTTACTTTAGTAAATAACCCTGTCTCTCTTATATCCCCTTATTTAATTTACGCTCTTATCAATGTTCCAGAAAATGGGTTATCTAAATGCATTTGTTATTTCCGACACTACCCACGCACCTCTTAATCTTATTCATTACACTGTGACTGTATGGAGTGTTTGTAAAGATCCCTGAGTTTTACAAATTAATAATAACACACGTTTTGTTTCACTGTGATACAACAATGACAACACAAAACACATTTTGTATGCCCATCATCTCCAGCCCTTCAGTGGCCCACATACCGCCCATCTCATATCCATCCATGCTAGAATTGCACTATTGTTTGTCAAAGCGATACTCTTATTGTATTCCCCAGGTGATCTCACATCCATCCTTGCTAGACCTGCATTACTATTCATTAAAGCAAAAATGTGATTGTATTCCCTAGTTGTATCAAACATAGAGAGAGGCAGGTAATGCAGAACTCTAATGGAATGCAAGACCTGATCTGAAACCCATTGAGAACCTGTGGTCCATCATCAAATGTGAGATTTACAAGGAGGGAAAACAGTACACCCCTCTGAACAGTGTCTGGGAGGCTGTGGTTGCTGCTGCACGCAATGTTGATGGTGAACAGATCAAAACACTGACAGAATCCATGGATGGCAGGCTTTTGAGTGTCCTTGCAAAGAAAGGTGGCTATATTGGTCACTGATTTGTTTTTGTTTTGTTTTTGAATGTCAGAAATGTATATTTGTGAATGTTGAGATGTTTTATTGGTTTCACTGGTAATAATAAATAATTGAAATGGGTATATATTTGTTTTTTGTTAAGTTACCTAATAATTATGCACAGTAATAGTCACCTGCACACACAGATATCCCCCTAACATAGCTATAACTAAAAACAAACTAAAAACTACTTCCAAAAATATTCAGCTTTGATATTAATGAGTTTTTGGGTTCATTGAGAACATGGTTGTTGTTCAATAATAAAATTAATCCTCAAAAATACAACTTGCCTAATAATTCTGCACTCCCTGTATATTGGTACACATACATACTGACACACAACAACACAGTTGTTGTAACTTTTCAGTATTTTTTTTAAATTTCATTTGTGCATTGAACTAAATAAAAGAATGTATTCAGAATATGAATCTAATTGCCCTATCAGTCACAAAACACAAGCCATAAACCAAAATATAAATTTCAGTAAGTATTAATCCAAAATATTTTCCATTTCTATTGTTTTTATGTACAGTTGTTCCATTTTTCTCCTGACAGAATGCCCGATACGTGTGGAATAAAGAAGAGTTTGACTTAGTGGATGAAAGTACCACAGATTACCTTATGGGTAATATATCCATGATATATTTTTTATGATTACTTTTCATGCTATTGGCAATTATACAAATTGACTAATAAACAGAAAACCTACATGATAATAACATGTAACAATAACAATTATTACTGCTGAAGGTTCATATGTATTAAACACCTAGTAAATTCACCCACTACATTTCAGTGGAGTAGTTTGGGTGCAATGCAGTGGTGGAACTAATGTAGAGATATTTTTTGTGTGCTCCCCCTAGCGCAAGAATGGCCAAAAGGTAGATCCCCATCTGTCGTACAACTCCCACGGAGTTATGCCAACTGGAAATCTACATTTGCCCATTCTTCAGGGTTGTATTTATGAGCAGTGTTTGTGTGTTTAAATATAATCATGTTTTTGTATGGAGTATGTGTGCATGCATGTAGGGATGTATTTGTATGTACTGCTGTCACTGGAATTCAGTGGTGTACTTCTATGTAATGTTTTTCTTTGAAAGCAGAGGTGTGTTTGTATGTAGTGTTAGCTTTAAAATGCAGGTGCAATTTTGAGTGTAATGTTGTTTCGTTGAAGGGGAATCTGTATATAGTTTTGGCATTTTAATATAGGGGTGTGTTTGAATGTAGTCTTGGCGTTTGCTTGCTGGGATGTATGCACTTATACACATACACTGCTACATACATACATACATACATACATGCTTACATACACATTGATACAAACATACACTGACACATTGACACACTCACATACACACAATGACAGATGCAGATACACACTGACACACACAGACAAATACACTGATAGAATGACACATAAACACTCAGATACACACACAGATAAACACTGACACATACAAACACACAGAGAAACACAAACTCACACACACACTGACAGATACACTCAGACACAGATACACACTCACAGATACACACTCAGACACAGATACACACACTGACACATAGACACTCGACACACACACGCATGTAATAATTTTCATATTTTAGCCAACCCCATATTAACATACTTTTAAGAGCATGTCCCCTGGGGACCTGCTGCTGTCTGGGTCTGATAGGAGTGTGGATCTGGATGTCTGCAGGCATGTTTAGGTCTTTGAAGGCAGTGTGTGCAGCTGCAGCAAGGGAGTCTTGGTGCTGGAATGAAGTAAGTAATTGTTATTTAACTTTAAAAGTTTAGCAATAGAAGGGAACCTATAATTATTTTCCCTTTAACACAAGATTCACTGGAGAAAACTAGTTGCGCTTGGACTCAGTAGCAGGTTCAGCGCCTACCATAGCAGTCAGTATGAACAAATAAAGAAAATTAGTTTCCAACACACACCAACATTAAAACTTCAGAAAGTACCTTTATGGTTTGATCAGGACATTCAGCCTGGACACAGCATGGAGAGCAGATGGCGCTAACGCGTTTTGTGGCACTTTAGAGACTTGCTGAAATGACACTAAGGCACAAAACGCGTTGGCGCCATCTGTCTGTGCTCCACTCTATGCTGTGTTCCAGCTGACTGAAAGCCTTGATCACGCAATAAAGACACTTTTTGACATTTTAATGCTGGTATAAGTTGGAAACTTTCTTTTAATAATTTGTTCATACTCACAATAATATGTGAGATACAATTGGAATGTTTATCACTCAACATATTATGTCATGTATTAAGCCATGTTTCTCACATAATACCTTGTGTCTTGTAGGATTATTTGAGCCAAAGGACATGAATTATGAGCTGAACCGTAATCCTTCCTCAGACCCCTCACTCACCGAGATGACTGAGAAGGCCATCAAGATCCTCAGCAAAAATCCTAATGGCTTTTTCCTGTTTGTAGAAGATAAGTTTAAATGATATAATACAACATGTTTACATTTATGCATTATATTTGATTGCAGTGTCAAATAGAATGTTTCTCTACAAGTAAATAGTCATCACAGGGTTATGACTAGTCCATGGTATTTTTATTGTTCTCTACACCAGTACACATTAAAGGACCACTATAGTGCCAGGAAAACAAACTCGTTTTACTGGCCCTATAGGGTCTTTGGGTCCCCCTCCCGCTGGGCAGAAGGGGGAGGAAGGGGTTAAACACGTACCTTTCTCCAGCGCTGGGCTCCCTTGGCACTGGGAACTCTCCTCCCTCTTCCGACGTCAGCCGCTGAATGTGCATGCACGGCAAGAGCTGTGCGTGCATTCAGTCAGTCCATAAGAAAGCATTTCTCAATGCTTTCCTATGGACGCTGGCGTCTTCTCTCTGTGAAAATCACAATGAGAAGCGCGGAAGCACCTCTAGCGGCTGTCAATGAAACAACCACTAGAGGCTGGATTAACCCTAATGTAAACTGCTATGTTTACAGCAGGCAGGGTTAACCCTAGATGGACCTGGCACCCAGACCACTTCATTGAGCTGAAGTGGTCTGGGTGCCTATAGTGGTCCTTTAAGGTAAATTTGTACTGACCAACAAACTGTTTAAGCTGTACTGATGGATATCCACCAAAACATGCATTGGATTTGAATTGTTGATGTTAAATTGGTGCATTATAAATGCAGTTTGACATGGAATTTTTAAAGAATCAGTAATAAGACAAAGAGGTATCTCAAATAGTATATGTTCTTACTGCCCATTTGCTTAATTTCTTAGAATATTCTTAATGTTAGCCTGACTTTAAGTATTTCTTCTGGTTATAGTTATCAACCTTTAGAGTTACTATCTTTGTTTACATATATGTTTGGAGACTCAACATATTGCACGGGAAAATATAACTTGATGACTATCTATCAGTTATATGTGCAAACACTCAGCAATATGCAATACTCCCCCCAAAATTCATTTAAGATTAGATGGAACTTGGGGTTAGGTTATATGTGCCTTCAAAACGTAGTGTGCTGCAACGCTATTCTCAACCAGCTGAAGCATCTTTAAGGTGGTCTTCTTTTAAACTTAAAAATCCATAACTCTAAAGCACTGTATGTCCCATGCTGTAATGAACCCTGCCATAATAAATAGTGCTGCAATACAACCACATTATTTTCAGTAGTGGACTTTCTGATGCAAGCATTTTCAAAATAAATGAAGACGGTGATTGAGATCATTGTGTTCCTCAGATTTCAGTGTCTAATACTTGTATGTTTTGTTCATAATCCTACAAACCTCCGTACTTGATGGTATAAGTACTGTTTCTTATATCACCAGCTTTCTTTCCGCCTCCCCATTTTTTCTATTTTTAGTAAGACAATAAACGATGCAGCATTGTCAAGTAAATTAGTTTTCATATTCATATATCTTCCGACTTCCGGCCCTCCAATATTTTTGGGATAAGTAATCACTATACACAGCATAACTAAACAATTTCTCTGACTGAGTGCCAGGAGGCCCCCGGAGTCACTCTTACCTCTAGGGGTTAAACTGCTCTTGAACAGGTGTAACACCAAAGTTTCCTCCAGCTATGATGATGAATACCACCTAGGCGGCATCTGACTTCTGAAAGATTCAGATTCAGGAAGCGCAGAGTGCTGCCATGCAGGGGCACCGCTGATTGACTCTTAGCCAATCAGTGACTCACAATATTCATAAAACTGGCTTGGAAATAAACGTACCACCACTAGAGGCAACTTTGGTGTTAAATCATTCAAGAACAGTTTAACCAATTGAAGTAAGAGTTCCTCCGTGGCCCTCTGGCACATAATAACTTCATTTGAATTAAGGTTTTTTTGGTGCCTGGAGTGTCCCTTTAATACGTTACGTTCTGCCTCTGTGTAATGACCCAGTATTGCGGTCTATGCATAAGATGTTTAGTTACTCATCATAAATCAACATCACTGAGATGTGGGATGACTCATTTAGCATGTTCAAGATAAATCAGTAAGATAGTACTTCTCTTGGTATCAACAATGAAGGCATGATTCATTATTTCAAAGAATAGTGTTTTTAGGTTATACAGAATAGATTTTCTGTGTTGCAGATTCTCAATTTTCAACAGTGTCACCATTTGCATATCTTTCCTCTAATAACAGATTATCTCAGGAGTCTATGGAATAGTCTACCAAGGTTTTACCCATTTACATACACTAAACATGGCATCAATACCATTTTTCTAGATAAGTTCTGCTTTCTATTTTTGCATGAAAATCCGGTTGAAAGTATTTTTTTTAAAATTAATTTTATATCAGAATTATTTGCACTCTAATATGTACTTAACTTTTACCTTATATTGGCATGTATAAGCTTTATGTCCACAACATATTAAAAGGCAAAAATATCACTTGAAGTCAATTATATTTAGAAGTGAAACGTTTCATTTAAAAAAAGTACAAAACGAATCAAGCAATTTTTATACTCTGTTATATTATTATATTTCTGTTATAAGAATTATTTTGTGGCAATTTAGTCTCAAGCACAGTTTACAATGTATCATAATGATAGGTGGCAGAGGCTTATAAATGTGGGGGCGGTGGAGGGGACAACAGCAGGTTATGTACTTCTGGCATAGATAACCTGCTTTTCATATATCTAATGAATGATATACGTTCTTGTACTTTTTTTACGTGGTAGAATTGACCATGGCCACCATGATGGGAATGCTAAGCAGTCGTTAACCGAGGCTGTTGAATTGGACAAAGCAATCCGCAGAACTGGGGAACTTACTGATGAAAGTGAGACTCTGACTGTGGTGACAGCTGACCACTCACATGTCTTCAGTTTTGGGGGTTATACAGACCGTGGCAACAGCATTCTTGGTAAGATGGTTCCTACACTTGACACCTACATTTTGCAAACTGTTTTTTCCACTAAATGTATAATGAATAAAAAGCTTTGTTTAATGTTACCCAAGAAGCACTATAGCGTTACTGCAAGGTAGAGGTGGATTTAAAGGAGGATTTATTGTCAAACTCTATATCTTTAAAATAGTACTTTATGTGATCTTCAAGGGTTTCAGAATCAGGAAAAAAATACTGTTATGTGAAATGTACATGGGAGCCATTGCTAACTGGTAGAAGATATTTTATATATTATGTTAATATAGACACTGAACAACACCAAGGCCATGAGTTTGACATCGTTATTTAACATACATTTTAAAGTATGTTCTAAGGGTGACCTTTTTTTTAAAACATTGGGTAACTGATAATTAAAAAGCTATGTAGCCCTGATTCATATAGAAGAAAATACACAATTTTTTAAAATTTATTTTTTAGGTGTAGCTCCGTTAAGAGCTAATGATGGCAAACCCTATACCAGTGTGGTCTATGGCAATGGTCCCGGGTTCAAGATTACAAATGGTGCACGCGAGGACATCAGTACCGTCGATATAGGTATACAACTTGTCTAATAAATGGAAAAAAGGGATGTGACAAACAAATCAATGGAGGAAGTAGAATAAGCTAATGTCTTTTTCCAAAATGTGAAACTAATGCATTATAGATACTGGTAACACCATAACATACCACAGAACGAGATCTTGGAACCCAGAGATGGTATTATTTTAGGGTTTATATTTTTAGGGCTGTGGGTAACGTGTTAGGATAATACAGGGGTTAAGGGGTAAGGGTTCATAAACAACTGTCACCTTAAAACAATTTTTCATATCATAATCCTTTCAAGTTTTCAAATGAATAGATTGTTTTTAAATTATGTTTTAATAGAAAAAACCCCATCTATTCCTTTATTTTATGACAGGTTCCTTCGGACATATACATGCATCTTGGGTCAGACAATCTCTATAGCCTTCCTTGCCTTCGGGTAGTGAGTGAAACAAGGAACATCATAGAGATTATTAATTTTGAAACACTGTCTGACCTATGGTCCTATAGCTGAAGGACTCTGTCATATCCTTGAGCTTGGGATAAAAATTTTTAATTTTTTTTTCATATACGCCATTAAAATAATCTATTTCCTTTCAAAACTTGATGAAAGGATTATTACAGAAGTGGGGAGCCTTTTCATGTTGGAAGGCTGCATTCATTTAGCTGTAATCAAATAAGACCACATTCTATTAGATATACTTAACAATGCACATTAATTAAAAAAAAACATGCTCGTTATAACAAATAAATGAAAACTATTTTTATTTCAAAGTTAACTAACCTTTTAATTAGTTCATTGTGTCTGCTTTTTATTGGAGAGCATTTGAGTATTTGGTTGCAGTTTCATTTGATCTTCTAGATGGGTCATTTGTGACCCTAAGGGTGTCTTGATTTGGGTTAGGTAGGAGAATGTAGATTCACAGCAATATATGGCTGAAAAGCAAGAAAGTATTTTTTGGACATGTTGCCGAAGGCCTGGATATTCTACTGCATTTTTCCATATTTCAATTAGATCTTTTCTAGCATCAGACTTTAAAATGTCATCTCCTGAGAGTTCGATCAGTTCCATCTGTAGTTCTTTAGGTGCCGTGGTGATGTAAACGACGTGAGGCTGAAATGCTAATTTGAGTGAAACTTTCATTGTATTCTCCAATTAATAGATCTATAAAAGCTGCATATTCTTCAAACGATTCACATATATCATCCTGCTCATAAATTACATGTGCTAACTGGGGAAAATGTTAATCCTAAATTTCCTTTTAAAGAAGTTTTTTTTTTTTTTTTTATGCTTGGATTTTGCCACATACACACACACATATATATATATATATATATATATATATATATATATATATATATATATAAAGACTTAATTGTGCAAATAAATATTCAAGTCATTTTGTTTTGACACAATATCACAGACATGCAGCATTCCTATAGGAATTCTTCACTTGCATATAGTTGGGAACCTGCCCAGTTGAAGATGCAAGTACGGAGACCCTTTATTGAGAACCTTAACATACACTCCTCTTGTTGCCTGACAAGCGGATATTTTTTTTTTTAAATTTAATGGTTACCTAATGCTGAGGTCTGCAATGGCATTATTTATTTAGATTTCTGTAGTGCACTTGAACGTATGATTAAATAGGTATGTCATGTTTTTGTGGCATTTATTACAACCTGACACTAAAAATACCACGTCAATGATTTTCATCTGAAGTTGGATGCTTTCCAACAGAAGATATGATATTTGACTGTATGGCTGCCACCTGTTCATGTAGACCTTCAGGAGCCTTTCCTCTTTGAAATGGGGACATTTTGAAGCCAAGCTAGAGCAGTGGTGTAAGACACCACCTGTGATCCAAACCTCTATTGGAACTGGAGATGGGAGGAATAGTGGAAACCTTGAACATTTGAAATGCAAGGCTCATGGACTGACACATGATGAGCCACTATAAACAACCAAATCCAGTTTAGTATAGGGCATCTTGCACAGTTTGCCTGAATACTAAAGATGGCCACCATGCTGCTTGGGCTTATTTTTTAAGTAGTGTTAAAAAATAAAGTTATGAAATAGCAGTCCGTTACTAATGGTGTCTACAGAGATGTAGGTTGGATATCTGAAAAGATAAATGCTTGGGCTTGCACATTAATCATGGCATTCTTTGAGTGTTATTGAAACACACATTTTAAGAGTTTGTTTTTGAAATGTTGCCTTAGGATATTTAATTTTTATACAGAAGTTTGATACTTTAATGTTAGACACTATGTAAACACTTTTTCACCAACCGAACTCTTTTTCCTGTTTCTTTCCACAGAAGCCAATGGTTATCGACAACAAGCAGCCATTCCTTTGGTTTCCGAAACCCACGGTGGTGAGGATGTGGCTATTATGGCCAAAGGTCCCTTTGCACATCTTTTCCATGGTTTTCATGAGCAGAGTTATATTGCCCATGTCATGGCCTATGCAGGTTGCTTAGAACCTTACGAAGGCTGCAACACAAAACTGAGGTCGATGTCAGTGAAATCGAGTTCTGTCATCTACTCGCCCTCCTTCCTGCCACTGTTTATTGTGTGGGGCATGCTGCTAATCTGGTGGTAAGAACTGCATTCCACAATATTTGGCAATTCTCCTGAATTAATGATTACATTTAATAAACATATATAATGCTTTGAATTGAGATTTTAGTGTCTGAATTATTTACAAATTCAAACTAGGGGTGCCTATCTTGACAAAACAGACAGGAGCATGGACTAATATCTTTAGCCACATACACCCCCCCTCCCAATTTGGTGGTCTTCACAAGTAAACAGAATTGCTTTGACCGCTATGGTAAGTGGTGCTAATAAAAATCACAGTGTGCAAAAAAATAGAAAAATAAACAAAACAGTAATTAAATAAAGAGGTATATATCAACAGAAAAAGATAAAAAGCTTAACATAAACTAAAACAAAAAAGGATTACCCCCAAAAATAAGCAAAAGCTCCACCTTAGAAGATCATATATATTGTGCCAATTCCTCACAGTGACTTGAGAGGCATTTCCATAGCCAGTTTCAGCAATAGTATACTACATGAAGATTCCATAGGCAGTTCCAGCAATATTATACTACACGAAGATTCTATAGGCAGTTCCAGTAATTGTATACTACATGATGATTCCATAGGCAGTTCCAGCAATAGTATACTACACGAAGATTCCATAGGCAGTTCCAGCAATAGTATACTACATGAAGATTCCATAGGCAGTTCCAGCAATAGTATACTACATGAAGATTCCATAGGCAGCTCCAGAAATATTATATTACATGAAGATTCAATAAGCAGTTACAGAACTGGTGTTGCATGAAGACATCTGCCCCAGATGGTAAACCGAAATAAGGTCTGTCACTTGAAATTTGCCTTGCAATCCCTGAAATGCTTGCAGTGTTCATTAAAGAACAATACCACCTTAGAAGATCATATATATTTTGCCAATTCCTCACAGTGACTTGAGAGGCAGTTCCAGCAATATTATACTACACGAAGATTCCATATGCAGTAACAGCAATAGTATACCACACAAAGATTCCATATGCAGTTCCAGCAATATTATACTACACGAAGATTCCATAGGCAGTTCCAGCAATAGTATACTACACGAAGATTCCATAGCCAGTTTCAGCAATAGTATACTACGTGAAGATTCCATAGGCAGTTCCAGCAATATTATACTACATGAAGATTCTATAGGCAGTTCCAGTAATAGTATACTACATGATGATTCCATAGGCAGTTCCAGCAATAGTATACTACACGAAGATTCCATAGGCAGTTCCAGCAATAGTATACTACATGAAGATTCCATAGGCAGCTCCAGAAATATTATATTACATGAAGATTCAATAAGCAGTTACAGAACTGGTGTTGCATGAAGACATCTGCCCCAGATGGTAAACCGAAATAAGGTCTGTCACCTGAAATTTGCCTTGCAAACCCTGAAATGCTTGCAGTGTTCATTAAAGAACAATAAGCTACCTGTGCAATAATAATATTGTAATGGCTTCATCCTAATGCGTGCTAGTGTTGAAGACCAAAGAGCACAATAAACAACACTACAGATATACATTTCCTGTATGTATTGTGGTGGGACTGATATGAGTAAAATTAGATTTAATCATATACATGATGCCATCTTCTGTTCTCTGGCTTTTACTGTACTGGTTTATGGATCAAAAGGACAGATGCAGTCTGTAAACTAGGGACTGCAATGTTAATTTACCTGGAGGCCACTGGCTCGGTTGCCCCCAATGGGGGTCGCAGATCTGTACTGCCAAATGCATGCATGTACACACAAATCAGAACTCCAATACATGCAAATCCTTACTCCCTTACACACAGCTACACACTTCAATACACACACATACAACCACACACTCCTGTGCACACACACACACATAATATTCGCTCTTAACCCCTCCCCCCAGCACCACTAATATGGTGGAGTTCTCAGCATAGCTTGCTTCGCTGTACTGTGTGCACCAGCCAACCTCATTACTAACGTTCTGCCACTCCACAGCTAAATGGCAGGATTCTTGTTTTACCTGTTGCACAGCACCGTGGATTATGTTGGTGCTACATAAACTAATTGTAACTGAAAGATCCTCAGATTTGTTAGCTACTATTTATAGCACTAACATGGATCGACTTCTTTCAGACAGCGGATGCAACTTTGTCTTTTCACCATTAAATCTATATTTAAACCGTGTAGGGTACAACTGTTCTCAAACCCTCTAATAATAACATTCGAGTTGGCGAGGCCCAGTTAAAAACCACAACCTCAATACAAATACAAATGTGAATGAATATAGAGTATAACATTCTATAAAAATCCTTGGAAAGACTTCAATAGAATTTAATATAGGGTAGCAATATATTAAAAAAATATGAATTAATAGTAAACAAGTAATGTTCCCTGGACAAAATATAATACACTTGTATGAAACACTCAACATTAATTTAGTTTTTAATATGAAATCAAGCACATAGGAATAATATGGTTTTATTACTGTATTACCATGCATTCACTCTATGACCAAAACCACACATCATTCAACATCAAAGGGACATGCATCACATGACAATTCTTTTAAACCAGGAACAAACAAACAAATCAAAATAAAGCAAGAAAAACTTTGAAAAGTATGTAATAAAGGTTTAGAAACTTACCAAAAATCTGGTCCGATTGCATTGTTGGGCACAATTCTCAGTAAGGGAAGTTTCTTCATTAGCCCCCATTATGGTCTTGCCCACAGCTCTCCGTTTCAAACCAGTCCACTAATGACAGAAACAGGGTGCCATTGTGCAGAAGCAGGAGAGAGAAACCCAGCACCCGAGCTTGCTCTGCATGAATCACACTGATCAGACTCTCTCTCTTCTCCACCTGTCAGGATGTTGCAAGGTGAAGAGTTCTTGTACATGAGTAAATCTGTTGGGCATGCCCAGTGCACTTTTCCAGCATTCCTAGGGATAGGGTTAGATCGGTGCACTCCCCTTCCCCCCTCCCCCCAAATGAGTGTTGAAAGCATAAGAAAGAAAAAGCTGGTAAATGTGAAAATTAATGATCATGCTTTTTCTCATTTTCTCAGCCTGTATAGTGAGACATCTATCTCTTGCCAGTAAGTGTAAAGCGTTTGAATGAGATAGTTGTCTCAAATGAATGCATGTTACTCTGGTTTCTGTGATGATAGCATGTTATTGTAAGAAAGCCAGGGTAATGCTAGGAGCATATGACATTAAGGTCTCCTCAAGTATTGACACAATGGTTGACCATTATTGAGCGGATGCTTCAGAATCCCGGAACAATAGGTTGTGAGGTAGCATCTACATCATAGCTTATGTTAAATAAAGTTTGCAAATTTCTGAGAATTTTGGGCTAAAGAAGGTAGGCAATACCATGACTTGTCTTTTTCACATTATGATGTCATCATTTGCAAATTTCATTTAGAAGACCCACTCATTTGCTTACCTTACAAAGATATGCAACAGGAATCAAATGCTCTCACCAACGGAGTCCATAAAGAGTTATACATTTTGACTACTGCACTTAAATTAATTTAATGTATATGCTTAGATTGTAAGCTCCTTTGAGCAGGGCTTCCTTCACTTCTGGTCTGTCAGTTACTTGTTTTGAAATATCCCTGTTCTAATTGTAAATTGCTGTGGAGTATGTTAGCGCTATATAAATTATAATAATTTTCAGCAAAATATTTACTAAAAATACTTGATGATGTGAACTCCACATAAATTAGTGTACAGACGTGGAGGGCACATTTTCTCCTTTTGAGTAAGGGTAGGTAGAACAAAAATTGTGTGTTGAAAGAAAATACAGTTTGAAATCCCTATTTGTATAAACAAATACCAGGAGATCCTGAACAGTATTGAAATATAGAAATGGAAACTCTAGTGCAGTGTCCCATCAGACCACCAGATGGCATTAATCAATCATATTGTGAGTAACAACCAAACAAGAAGTATAATCGCTCCCAATGTGTGGGTATCCACTATGGGACATAAGCTCTCATGCCATGGCCTTTTGGAGAGACTTGAAGGCCAGCCACTTGCCCAAAGTCTATGGACCTGGTGCCAAGAGCCCTTGAAAGGGGCCTGTGATAGTAGGATTTAAAAACCAAACTATGCATTGTTAATTTGATAACTCTGCCGTTTCCTCTGCTGACTGAATAGAGATGTGTATATTTATATAATGCTTGTATGCAAATTACGGTAACCAAACCAACTAAGGCCTCGTGGCCACCTAAACCACCTTAGGGCAGACTGTGTCGGGTCCTCGGTCAGTGACCTACGATCCGACACCAGGAGGGGCCCCAGCAGCTTTCTCAGTATGCCGCTGGGTGCAAGGCCCCTCCTGTTTGCCTGGCTAGCAATCACAGACACTGGTCTGCAGCTCCACAGTGTGCAGAGCTGCAGACCATATGTCTCACGAGAACTGGCCAATCAGAGCGTTGCCGCGGGTTACCACAGCAACGCTCTGACGGGTCTCGCGAGATACATGGTCTGCAGTTCTGCGGAGTTGCAGACCGACTATAATGGCCACCGGACAACAAGGCAGCCCACACTCAACCAGCAGGGAATACAAAAAACAAAAAGGTATTTAGTCCCCCCTTCCTCTCCCCATCACCCCCCTCCCTCTCACATCACCCCCTCCCTCTCACATTACCCCCTTTCCCTCTCACCATTACCCCCTTTCCCTCTCACCATCACCCCCCTCCCTCACACCATCACCCCCTCTCCCTCTCACCACCACCCCCCTTTCCCTCTCACCATCACCCCCCCTTTCCCTCTCACCATCACCCCCTTTCCCTCTCACCATCCCGCCCCCCCTCCTCTCTCACCATCACCCCCTCCTCTCTCACCATCACCCTCCTCTCTCACCTTCACCCCTCCTTCATCACCCCTCCCTCCATCACCCCTCCCTTCACCCCTCCCTCCATCCCGCCCCACCTCACGCCATCACCCCTCTCCACTCTCACCATCCACCCCCTCCCTCCCCCATCCGCTCACCCATCACCCCTCTCCTTCTCACCATCACCCCTCTCCTCTCACCATCACCCCCCTCTCTGCTCACCATCACCCTCTTCATTCCCCTCTCCCCATCACCCCCTCCCTCACACCATCACCCCCTCTCTCACTATCACACCCCCTCCCTCACACCATCAACCCGCTCACCATCACCCCCTCTCACCATCACCCCCTCTTCCTCTCACCATCAGCTCCTTCTCCCTCACTGATCACCCTCCACTACCCCACACCATCACCCCCCTCTCCCTCCCACTCATCACCCCCCTCTCCACACACAATCACCCCCCCTCTCACCATCACCCCCTCCCTCACACAATCACCCCCTCTTCCTCTCACCCTCCCACACCATCCACACCCCTCTCCCTCACACAATCACATCCCTCTCACCATCACCCCCCTCCCTCACACCATCACCCACCTCTCCCTCTCACCATCATCCCCTCAAACCATCACCCTCTCACACACAGGATCACCCCCTCCCCTCACACACACAGCCTCCCCAGACACACTGTTAGCATCCCTTCACACATTGTCACCCCCTTCCATACACTGTCAGCCTCTTCATGCATCCATACTCACATTAACCACTCCTAATCCTGTTAATCTCATCCCCTCCAAACTCACCTGCCCTCACTCTGCCACACTCACCCTGTCACATTAACCCCCCTTAATCCTGTCACACTCGTCCCTCCTACCAGTGCCACAATTGCCCCGACACACTTACCTCCACTCGCCCTATCACACTCTCCCATCAAACCATGTCATACTCCCTGTCCTTCATTCTCTCTCACAATCCTCCCCCCTCCCCTGCAGCCTGGTTGGTGGAAACGTTTCTGAGAGACCCCAGTTAAGCTTTGGCAACTGGAGTGGAAGTGTTTCAGGGTCCATGAAAAAAAAATGCTAGGAAGCAGACCTAGTGGAGTACAGGAGCTCTGTCACACACTGTACTAACTTAGGAAGAGCTGCTAGAGGTAAATATACATTTACATGGTAGATCTTTACTGACCACGAATCCTTACTGAGTGTTAGAACTAGCATCTAAATAAAAGTGCTTCCCTACCGTGAAACACAAACAACATAATTATCTTCTGGCTGTAGAGGCTCATTCGATGGGCTATTTTAATATTTTTATCCTCCTTTCCTTTGTTGTACCTCTGTTTTAACTCAAGTTTCCATAATTATTGTAGTTTCACCTTCTCTTGAGTGCTAGTTCTAACCTGCATTAAGGATATGTGTTTATTGCAGATCTACCTTGTAAGTTCATATCTCCCTCTAGTGGCTGCCCTGAGTTATAACAGTCGATACCTAGTCAGTTTGGTTGTCTCTCGTAATATGGGTTTTAAATACCATCTGGTGGTCTAATGGGACGCCACTATGGTTTCCATTTCTAGATTTTAATATTGAGAGCCCTTTCTTGGGTCACCTATAGAATTGTACGTTTGTATTCAAACACATAGTGTGTGAAAACGCTCATATAATTGATATATTGTGCAGTGATATATTACATAATATATTTTACAGTACACTGGCCAATTTTCACACCCTTTTTGGTTCGTCCAAATAATTTTTCACAAAACTTATCTGAATCGCAACACCACACATATGAAACCTCAATCACCTGAAACAATTTTATTTTTTTAATCTGCAGAATTTATATAATGCAGGTGATTGTTTTGTCCTTTTGCGTGTATCCTTTAATTTTATACCTTTTTTTTCCCCTCTCTTTCCCTCCGTGTCTGGGGACAGCTGCTAGCCCTTCATGAAACAAGGCTATTTCTGTACAATTTTATGTTCTTAACTCATTTTGGACATTTTTTTTTTATTGGTTTCCTTTTTTTTTTTTTTACTCCCGCTATGTGTGCTCAGTACAAGACCCTAAGAGGAGTCCAGACACATTTTTGTCCTTTGAGTCACTCGGACGGATCTTCATCCAGACTCTCTCTTTCTTATCCCTTATCTTTTTTTTTTTTTCTTTGAGACTATTTATTTTATTAAGAAATAAATAAAGTGTGATGTCTCACCAAGAGCAGACATTCAACAAAAGAGAAGCACTACTCTCAATGAGTGTGTCAGCATGGGTAGTACCAATTTACCCAGGACATGAACCCAAATAAAAAGTTTTAAAATGTTATAAATACTGAAGAAAGCTCTGTCCAAAGACAGAGCCCCCTAGCTTGGTAGATACGAAATTACAGCCAATATTACTCTCTAAATGGTGTCTAAAAGTAGTGTGATTAGATAAAAGTATAAAGGAGATTCACAGAAATGGCTACAATGTACTATGCAGACTATTAAATGCGGTCTAATGTACACATAACAATGGCTAAATGACATTGTATAGTGGTAGAAACCTGTATTAAAATAAGGAAGTAATACACAGAGGCTTTAGAATAAGAGTAGATGGATACCAGTTTCCTCAGATAATCCTGTGAATAGAGGAGGGGGTAAGTATCTTAAAACAGTGAACCCTCCTCATTAAAATTAGGATTCCCACTCACTGGTGATAAATGTATATCTAAAGAAGTTTCCAAAAGGATCCATGAACCACAAGGTACTACAGTAGTAGGAAACAACAGGAAGATGAGGAGAGAGAAATTAAAAGGAGATAAATAAGTAAAGGTGAGAGAATACCTCACTAATAGCTCAGTTGCTGAAGTGACAGCAACCTACTAACATCTATAGCTGAACTGAGCTGAGATAATCACACTACCACTAAACTAGAGGAATAAATAGGTGCCATAATAAGAGTGGTCAAAAAAGTGCCCATTAAAAAATAAACAATTAAAAATCAAAATTCCCGACGCGTTTCAGTGCATAGCTGCACATTCGTCACGGGAAAAAAAACTGTACCAACAACGGAGCTCGTATAAATAGGGATCAAAATCCCTCCTAAGCAAGTCAGTAGCCAATCAGCAATGCATAATGGATTGATTAGAACTCACCTCATGTGTACACCCATAAAGCAAGACCAACCCACTTAGACTCCACAATCAGCCAAGGAACACTCCCAAAGGGAATGTGAAAAAAAAAAGAAGCAATTGCCTAAACTCAAGTACACAGTTTCAATTCTACTATGTATAATGGGGAATCCAATGGTATCAAATGTTTAATTGTTCGTGTATAATCAAAAGTCGAACTGGAAGATATCTGTCAAAATAGTTGTAAAAGAGACTAATCAAACATGGATTTAGCCACTCACATATATAGTAGTGAGTGAATAAGAACTGGGACTGGAATGCTCACTAATCCCAGCCAGCCAAATGTCTCTCTAAGTAGGGAGAGGCTGTGTGTGTGTAAGTGTATATAGATAATAGCAAAACTGCTCACAGTTAATAGCTAGCCAAGTAGCCAGTTACTGCCATATAATACTGAGTGAGTGAATTAGAACTGGAACTGAAATGCTCACTAGCCCCAGCTAGCCCAATAATCCCTCTAGGATACTTACACAGATATATTAGCTGTAATTTACACATTTTATATTCACTGAAGTTTACTGTTTAATGAATGGCTCCTGTTGGTAACTGTTAATAGCACAATAGCTATAAAATACTGTAGAGGTTTGTTATCACATGTATTACATTTTATGACAAATAAAGTAACATCAAAGGATTGAGATACGTTTTTTTAAATTCACATTTCCATTTTCTACAGACATACCAGATCGAAATACATGCTTACATCATATATTTCTGTAAAAATACCAGGTGCACAACATATGGACCATACAAGAAGAATGTGGCTAGAAAAATATATGGTATTAGGTGCATGGTTTATATCTAATTTAGGAATGCATATGGATTAGAATCCCATTACTTTCTCTGCTAATGAGATCAGCATGTGGTATAAATGGCTTACCATGACAGGGGGTGAAGATGTGTGTTTAACATGACTCCCGACGATGGAATGTCATGTTAGAATGGGCTGTCATGGGACTATATACATGCAGGAAGCGGTTTATTTTATCACACCTTTGTTATTTAAGCATAGCAGAAATCAGACTCCAGTGGACTCGGGTATTGCTTACATCCTATTCACAATAGTAAGAACAGTGTTCTTATGAAATGTGACTATATTAAATTGTATTATTAGCAGTTATAAAGTGTAGAGGAGCTCTAGTCCTGACAAGGACTTTTCCTCCCTTGGATCCGTGAAGACAGGAAGGCACTGGAAGGTGAATAGCTTTATCCCGCCCCAGTAACTGGACAACACAACTGGGAGTACAACTGAGTTATTCAGCCCAAACACAGCCTTTTATGAACAGAACCCCACTATGGGGCCTCCATACAATATTTACCCAATCCCCTCCTAGGCGAGCCATTGTCTGAGAGATAATTGAGTCAAAACTTAGTAACTCAATTATCTCTCAGTTACAGGAAAATACAGAAAACATACCGAAAAAAAACCAAAAACATATTCATATTTTACAGGAACCCCACAACATATTTAAATAGCGCCCAGATCCGTTTGGTAGAACAAAATCGCCATTCAAGTAAAGTTCTGACCGGCCGGCCACGAGGTGATGGCCCAAAACAATTCCAGAGAATTTAGGACAACAGGGTGTCCTGTTCAGGGTTCCTGTGCGAACACTGACGAATGCTCCCCCCAGTCGGTAGTTCCTATCTCCCTAATGTCGTTCGCCTAGTTGGTCGGGAAGTTGAACGGGCAGCGGTACAATCGTTGCCTGTGTTGCCGAAAATACTTACAGACTGTCGACAACCATGTACCGCAGCCTGCGTTTGAAGACAAAATGACTGCCATTCACTGGAACACATGCGTTCAGTTATACGAATGGCGGCCACCCAGAGAAAGCACTTGAGTTAATGTGTTAATTTGGACTTAATAAATAGGGGTGGTCAGTGTAGCGGATGGTACCAGGCGACCATACAAATATACTGTATAAACCTGCATTCGTGTATCTGCTGTATTTTCTATGTATTAAAGAATTGTATTCCTCTGATTGTTCAGTAGTTTCATTCCCTTAGTTTATTCAAATGAAACTACCGAACAACCACACCTCCCCTGTGTGAAGTGTGTCCTCAATTACCCGTTGCAACATTGTTGCGAACGGATAATTGAACAGTAAGTAGCCGTCCTTTGTTCTCGGGGGTGGCCGCCATTCGACAAACGAACACGTGGCGGCGGCCATTTTAAAACTCCCGAACAGCGGTGTTTTGCCGTCGAGTGTCTGGAACTAAAATCGGACACTCGAGTAGGCGAACACCGCGAGCCCTGGTCCGTTCGGTTCCAAACCAAGGTTTTCGTGTATTTTATTCCCTTATGCCAGGACCGACCGCAGGGCCCATTCATATGGAACCGAATGCGGCTATCTCAGTTTGTGCGGTCGGTCATTTTATTCCCTCCATACTTTTCCCGAACCCCTGGTCTGATCTGGGTGATTTTTGGATATGTTGTTCACCCAGATCAGGGCTACCAGGGGATGTATGATTTAAAGGGTACCCCTACGTTTAGGGGTACATCCAGAAATGGGGGGAATTGGTGTGCTGGATAAGGGGATTATGATGCTGGCTGAGGGGAGGAGATGTGTGGGAGGTTACCAGGACAGGATTGGCTACTGTAATAATTACTGTAAATCCCTCCCTTGCATGGGAGCATGCTTTATAAGGAGACTGTGATTAAAGCTTGTCAGTTATGCTCCTGAAACTGTGTGTCGTCCAGTTATTGGGATTGCTGTTGGGATATTGCTGTATTTTACCTGCTGGAAACCTTGCCTGTGGATTTATTATTTACTTGTTCCTGAGTCCCACTTGGATTATAAGCGGAGATAACCTGGGTAATATTGCATCTCCGCTACATTGGTGGCAGCGGTGGGATCCAGACTCACAGAGGAACAAGCTTAAATGGAGTACGGATGGAGATTGATTTTGCCACACTAAAACGCTCCACGCTAAAAGACCTTCTGGAGGCAAAGGGTATACAAGCCAGCAATAAGACAAAAGCGGTACTCATCACTGAACTGATGGCGGAGTACGAACGATTCGGTTCCCGAACAGGGGAATTCGGGAGAAACACCGGAACAAAGGGAGTTCCAGAGGCAGGTACAATTTCGGCTGTCTTTCTATGGGGAACACCCTCCAACAGAGATTGTTTCCAAAACGATAACGGAGGTCCAGGAATTTATACTGAGGAGTCAAACAGCGGCCCCAGAACGCAGCTCTGCAGTAAATATGCCACAAGAAGGTAAGCCGAAAATACCATACCAGGCTTTTAAAACATATGTGGAGGCAGAGGAAGATATAGACGCTTTCCTGCAAGATTTCGAGAGACTGTGTGCACTGCATAGAATCAGCGCAGAGGACTGGGTACCTATTTTGGCAGGGAGGTTAACTGGGAGGGCAGCTGAGGCATACCGGACTGTACCTAATGATGAAATACGGAATTACCACAAAGTGAAAGAAATTATATTGGCCAGGTATGCTATAACACCAGAAGCATACCGGCGGAGATTCAGGGATTTAAAGAAGGTGGAGAAAGACTCACATGCTGAGTGGGCATGCAGACTACAACGAGCAGTCTTGGGGTGGTGCAAGCGAGCAAGGCACGGTCTATGGAGGATGTATTGCAAATGGTACTGCTGGAGCAATTTTATGAAGGAGTAACCAGCGAGGTACAGGAGTGGGTAAGAGACAGAAACCCTACCTCCCTTACCGAAGCAGCCAGGAAGGCAGACGAGTACCTGGATGCACGCAGGCAGCAAAAACCTGCAGCTCCAAAAGTACCCTTTAAAACCTTTGGGGGAAACAACTACACGCCAGCTCTACCAAGGTCACTGCCACCACCACCACCACCCGCTGCACAGCCACGTTTCCGCCAGCCCACGTCGGGCCCTTGCCACCACTGCCAGAAGTGTGGACACTATAAAAGGGAATGCCCCCAGCTGCGGGACCGTTCCACCTGGATCCGACCGGGTCCACCACCACCACCGAGAGCCGCCGCAGCCCATCACTACCAGGACATCGTGGCCACACCGTATGGTTCAGCAGTTCCCATCACAACGGTAGAGCAGTGGGAGGTACTGCACGAGGCAGATCCCGTCCAGGCTAACGCGGACAACCGCCAGCATCACAGGCAGACCGTGTATCTGGAGGGTAAAGCGGTTCAGGGGCTACGTGACTCAGGAGCCACCATCACCCTGGTAAAAAGTCACCTGGTCTCAGACCAAGCTAAACTTAGTAAGACTGTGGCCGTCAGGGTAGCCGGGGGAGCAGTATACCGGCTACCCACAGCAAGGGTACATTTGCATTGGGGAGCGGGGGCAGGGCATGTGGAGGTGGGGTTGATGCCGCAGTTACCGGCGGAGGTTTTATTGGGGAACGATCTGGGGAGGCTCACATCTGCTTTTGAGCCCCAGACACCCACCACAGGAGAAGCTCACCCTGTGGTTACTCGACAACAGGCCCGCACCCAGGACTACAACACACTCCCGGAGGTTCAGGTAAGAGATCCTTCCCCTTCCCTTGACTGTGTTCCCTGGGCCCCTCCTAACGAATTTGCAGCTGAGGTAGTGACTGACCCCACCTTGCAGGTGTATAGGGACAAGGTGACAGCAGACACGCCTGGGGGGGAGGGCGAAAGGTTTATTTGGGACAACCAGCTGTTATATCGGGAGACGGATAAGCAGGTATCCGGGTCAGACCCGATTGTGATGAGGCAGTTAGTGGTACCTCAGCGGTACCGGGCGGAGTTACTACGGATAGCCCATGACATTCCGCTATCTGGACATTTAGGGGTCAGCAGGACCCGATACAGGTTAACCCAAAGTTTCTTTTGGCCGGGAATTAGCCAGGAGGTGCGCAGGTATTGCAACACGTGCGATACCTGTCAAAGGGTGGGGAAAAGGGGGGACCGGCGCAAGGCCAAGTTACATCCCCTCCCCATAATCGAGGAACCCTTTAGCAGGGTAGCAGTTGACCTAATAGGACCCCTCAACAAAGCGAGCCCGTCAGGTAAAAGATTTATCCTGACAGTAGTAGATTATGCCACTAGATATCCAGAGGCGGTGGCCCTGACGAATATACAGGCTGAGACAGTAGCAGAAGCCCTGATGAAGATATTCTCCCGGGTGGGACTCCCCAGGGAGATTGTCTCCGATCAGGGCACCCAGTTCACCGCTGAAGTCACGTAGCGCCTCTGGAAGTTTTGTGACATTAAGCCGGTCATTAGTTCCCCTTACCACCCCCAGACGAATGGGCTCTGCGAACGTTTCAACGGTACATTGAAACAAATGCTCCGAACCTTCGCAGAGACCCACAAGGACTGGGAGAAGTTCCTGCCACACCTCCTCTTTGCTTACAGGGAGGTGCCGCAGGAATCCACTGGGTTTTCCCCATTTGAACTATTGTTTGGCCGCAGGGTACGAGGGCCTTTAGATTTGATCAGAGAGCATTGGAGGGAGAACGGAGCACTGACGGTACCCCCATCATACCATATGTGTTGGCATTCCGAGACCGCCTTGAGGCCTTAACTCAGGCGGTACGCGAGAATTTGCAGGCGGCTCAGACACGCCAGCGCACATGGTATGATCGGGGCGCCAGGGACCGTAGCTTTCAGGTCGGGCAGAAGGTGTTGATCTTAAAACCTGTCCGACACGATAAGCTGCAGGCTGCCTGGCAGGGCCCTTATAAGGTGGTGGAACAACGGTGTGACACCACTTATATAATCGGCTCGTGCGTTGGTACTGGGGGGCGACGCATGCTCCATGTGAACATGATGAAGCCCTACCAGGAGCGCTCGGAGGAAGTGACCGCTATATGTGCGCCTAACTCCGAGGAGTTTGACAGTTTACCTCTCCCGGATCTGCTGGGAGAGGGTCAGTTATCCGGGGACTTAGGGGAAGTCACCCTGGGGGATCGGTTGAGCCCACAGGAGCGGAGCGAGGTACAACAGCTGTTGAGGGAGAAGCAGGATATCTTCTCTAATGTACCTGGTTACACTCCTCTGGCCACTCACAGAGTAGACACCCCAGGGCAACTTCCCATGCGTCAGACCCCGTACCGCATCCCAGAAGCGGTACGGGCGAACATGCGCAAGGAGATCGATGAGATGCTCCAGCTGGGGGTGATTGAGCCCTCCGACAGCCCCTGGGTATCTCCGGTAGTACTAGTACCAAAGCGGGACGGCACGACCCGGTTTTGTGTAGACTACCGGAGATTGAATGAGAAGACGGTATCTGACGCCTATCCCATGCCCAGGATAGGCGAACTCCTGGATCGGATGGCGAGGGGGCACTATCTCACCACGATTGACTTGTGTAAAGGGTATTGGCAAATACCCTTGGCGCAAGACGCCATCCCTAAGTCGGCCTTTGTCACCCCATTCGGCTTGTACCAATTTAAGGTCATGCCGTTTGGGATGAAAAACGCCCCGGCTACTTTTCAGCGGATGGTGGACCACCTCCTAGATGGGTTCCAGGATTATACCTGCGCATACCTCGATGATATTGCCATTTTCAGCAATACCTGGCAGGAACACCTGACCCATATAGGAGCGGTCCTAGACAGGATTAGGGCCGCTGGTTTAACGCTAAAACCAGCCAAATGCAGCATAGGTATGGCTGAAGTACAGTACCTAGGTCATCGGGTAGGATGCGGCAAGCAAAAGCCGGAACCAGCCAAAGTAGAGGCTGTAGCTCAATGGCCTACCCCTAGGACTAAGACCCAGGTGTTAGCGTTCTTAGGAACGGCCGGATACTACCGGAAATTTGTCCCGAATTACAGTGCCCTGGCCAAACCTCTCACCGACTTGACCCGTAAAAACCTACCCCGCCAAGTAACCTGGACCCCGGAGTGTGAACAGGCATTTCAGTTGTTGAAAGATGCATTGACAAATGCCCCTGTCTTGGCAGCTCCCAATCCAACTAAACGTTTTCTTGTCCACACAGACGCTTCTATGTTTGGATTGGGAGCAGTATTAAGCCAAGTCGGGGCCGATGGCGGAGAACATCCCGTGGCTTACATCAGCCGGAAACTGTTACCTCGAGAAGTAAGCTTCGCCGCCATCGAGAAAGAATGCCTGGCTGTGGTGTGGGCCCTGAAGAAATTACAGCCATATTTGTACGGACAAGCTTTTTCCCTGCTCACGGATCACAACCCGTTAGTATGGCTAAACCGGGTGGCTGGGGACAATGCCCGGCTGCTGCGCTGGAGTCTGGCACTGCAGCCCTTTGACTTTAATATCCAGTACCGCCCGGGTAAACAGAATGGAAATGCTGATGGGTTGTCTCGACAAACTGACCTAGAGAAATGATCCGTGAGCCTCCCCGGACATCCCCAAGCCGATCCGTGTTGGATCAGACTGTGTATGCCGGTTTGTGGGCAAGGGGGAGCAGTGTAGCGGATGGCACCAGGCGACCCTACAAAAATACTGTATAAAGCTGCAAACGTGTATCTGCTGTATTTTCTGTGTATTGAAAAAGAATTGTATTCCTCTGATTGTTCGGTAGTTTCATTCCCTTAGTTTATTCGAATGAAACTACCGAACAACCAGACCTCCCTGTGTGAAGTGTGTCCTCAGTTACCCGTTGCAACATTGTTGCGAACGGGTAATTGAACAGTAAGTAGCCGTCCTTTGTTCTCGGGGGTGGCCGCCATTCGACAAACGAACACGTGGCGGCGGCCATTTCAAAACTCCCGAACAGCGGTGTTTTGCCGTCGAGTGTCTGGAACTAAAATCGGACACTCGAGTAGGCGAACACCGCTGAGACCTCCACAGCCCTGGTCCGTTCGGTTCCAAACTACCGAGCGGCCCCTCGTTCGGTAGATAGAGAATACCGAACGAGGGGATTCAGGCGAACCCTCCCTAGCCTCTATAGCTAGAGGTTTTCGTGTATTTTATTCCCTTATGCCAGGACCGACCGCAGGGCCCATTCACATGGAACCGAATTCGGCTATCTCAGTTCGTGCGGTCGGTCATTTTATTCCCTCCATACTTTTCCCGAACCCCTGGTCGATCTGGGTGATTTTTGGATATGTTGTTCACCCAGATCAGGGCTACCAGGGGATGTATGATTTAAAGAGGTACCCCTACGTTTAGGGGTACATCCAGAAACGGGGGGAATTGGTGTGCTGGATAAGGGGATTATGATGCTGGCTGAGGGGAGGAGATGTGTGGGAGGTTACCAGGACAGGATTGGCTACTGTAATAATTACTGTAAATCCCTCCCTTGCATGGGAGCATGCTTTATAAGGAGACTGTGATTAAAGGCTTGTCAGTTATGCTCCTGAAACTGTGTGTCGTCCAGTTATTGGGATTGCTGTTGGGATATTGCTGTATTTTACCTGCTGGAAACCTTGCCTGTGGATTTATTATTTACTTGTTCCTGAGTCCCACTTGGATTATAAGCGGAGATAACCTGGGTAATATTGCATCTCCGCTACAGTCAGTGTTCGGGGAGGTATAAAAGGGGGAACCACACACCATCCATTCGGGAAATGAATAAGGGGGTACGGAGAACCGAACAAAAGGGATTGAGTCTGCTACATATAGCTCGAACACATTCTACAGAAGTCCCTGGATTTAAGGTACACATAGAAACATAGAACATAGAAACATAGAATGTGACGGCAGATAAGAACCATTCGGCCCATCTAGTCTGCCCAATTTTCTAAATACTTTCATTAGTCCCTATTCTTATCTTATAGTTAGGATAGCCTTATGCCTATCCCACGCATGCTTAAACTCCTTTACTGTGTTAACCTCTACCACTTCAGCTGGAAGGCTATTCCATGCATCCACTACCCTCTCAGTAAAGTAGATATATACTGTACACAGATATATACTGTTAGGTGTGTACCTTTTGGATACAAGAGAGTGGCTTTCCTGGAGTCCAGTGGCAGGCTGAGGGAGTGAGGGCCTCCTACTCCCTCCCGTGCAGCTACACTCTCTCTGGAAGGAAGTGATTCACGGCTGTCACTTCCTCTCATCTGGTTGGCGTTAAGCAAGGGGCCCGGTGGCACTGTTAAAGGGCCACAGTGCCCGACAGGGCCCCTGCTGACCATTGCTCACTGAGTGGCCCTAAGTTGATGGGCCACCTGATGGGTCCCCTTAGTGTGTGGCCCCCTGGTACAACCGCAGCATTGGCGGGCCCATGGTGTAGGTAAATATCTGGGCCTGGTGCAGCTGCCCAGTTTGCCCCATCTGTGTAGGGATGTGTTCCCTTAAGAGTAATGTATGACTGAGTGCATGTCTGTCAGTGTGAGTCTGTATGTGTATCTGTGAATGTGTGTCTGTGTACATGTCAGTGCCACTTTAAATGTATGTGTGCATTTGTGAGTGTTTTTCTGTGTTTCCTTGAGTGTTTATCTGTGAGCCTGTAAGAGCCATTTACATTGAAGGATTCTATCCCTCCACAGCCCCTGTCCCCACACTACAGCTGCTATCTCCCCATCAACACACACATCAGCCCATCTACCCCAACACTCATACAACAGTCCCTATTCCTCCCAACCACACACTACAGCCCCTATGCTCTGCATACATACACAACAACTCCTTTTTACTACAAACATAGACTACATACACTGCATAATTATATATCTATCGTGTAACTTGTCATATTAAATCTAAAAAAAAATGACAGTTTCCTTTAAGTTGTGTTTGTATTCAATCAATTAACAAGTGTTGGTAATCTGTATTTAATTGGTTATCTAAGCATCCTGGGTACTTCAGTGCTTGAAGTGGTCATAGTGCAAAGACCCTGTATTTGCAGCGTTTCAGCATGTAACACTGTACTTTATTTCATATTGCTGCCCGAGGTGTAACTCCACCTCCAGCAACATCATTACCCAGCCCAGTACATCCTGCTTGCTGATGTACTTTAGAACTGGCATTCATCTTCTGCAACCCTGGAAGCTTGGTGCTTCCAGCTGAAAGTTCAAAATAAAAATGACTTTTATTTTTAACTTTCAGTTGTTTAGTAGATATCTCTCTAAACTGGTATCCTTATGTGGAATTGACAAATGTAAAAATACAAAATTAGGGAGCTGTTTCAATAGCTGCTAGAGTTAACTCCATTCATCAGGAATCCTTAAATATGGCATTCCCACATAACGATAACAAGGTAGGAAGTTATCTACTACGCAGTTGAATAATCAACATTTAGAAAAGTTATTTTTTAATTATATGGACCAGGGGTAAGCAACCTTTAGCACTCCAGATGTTGTGGACTACATCTCCCTTTACATTGGTACAACATTATAAATGTAATGGCATCATGGAAGATGTAGTCCACAACATCTGGAGTGCCGAAGGATGCCTACCCATGATAGATGAAGGTGACCATCAATCTATTTACAGATATGGCATTTGGGCCTCATGTCCAAAAAGGTTAATGACAAAACAGCATCATAACTACTACAGCCCGCTGAAGTACTTATGGTGCCATGAATGATCCCTTCTGCCTCCCCATTGTAAGAAGGATGTGAAACCACTGGCGAGCTAGCCTCTGGCATTATCTGTGAGAGCTTTCAGCTCTCCATAATGGAGGCAGGTAAAAGAAAGAATCAAACCATTGTAAAACAGTTTGATTCCTATTAAGGAGGGTACTCCTGGCACCATCAATCCTACAGTGTTCCTCTAACTAATCTGGGTGACGGTCATCTCCTCTTCTGAAGCTTTGAAGCCTTGCAGCGCGAGGCTAAGCAAGCTCATTGGCAGAGAGAGCGAGCACTCAAGGGTTACTCCAACCTAAAAACAGTGGTTTAAGAAAACACAGATTTTGGTTAGAGTAACCCTTCTTATCTTGCAACCCCCCTCAAAAGTTTTTTTTTAAAACTTGCCTCTATTCCAGAGATTAATTCATTCCTCAGTCTGATCCTTCTACGCTGATGTCACTTCCCAGAGGAAAGATGTACAGGCAGGATGGGCTGAGTGGAGAACAAAGGCAACACACCCCACCATTGACTGTCTGCCCCCAGCATGCTGTGCCTGCTGATGAGAAATGTCAAATTTGTGTTTCTGGCCTTGCTAATGGTCCTCTGAAAATGCTGCTGACTTGGAGTTACAACACCGGCAGCAGAGAGGTTAAACTCTGAATGTTTCATAGAGAAACACTGCACATACAGACTCCAAGTAACACTTTATGGTTCTTGGAGAAAACCATTGAAGTGATGCTGCCAGCCAATGAGATGAACCTGGCCTGCATTATAGGGTCTAGCTTAGGGAAGTTAATGCTCTGTGCATGGAAGTCCAACATGTCCCATTGGTTTAGGAGATTTTAGTTTGATATATTGTTGCCACCTGTCAATCATTTATGTATTGTGTGGTGTTTCACATAAACTATATTGCTAACAGACATTCATTCTGTTGTGACTGAAATTTGTGTTATTCACATTTACTACAATATCTAGGCTTTTTTTTTTTTTTTTAAATCAAAGAATGACCAAATCACATTAAAACATTTCATCCACCATGTGAATCTGGACTGGTTTGGTTTGGTCATTCAGTGGTTCATTATTCGAATAAACTAATGAATCAGCCAAATTTCATCCGAATTGCGGATTGTCTGAATACAAATGCAGACTTCCTTACAGAATGAAATCAAGTTAATTTGCCAAGGCAAAAGAAAAAAAGAAGAAAAAAAAATATTTCTACAAATGATATTAACAATTTATTTATTAAAAATGCTTCACATCATTTCTTCACCATAAATGACAAGCTCACCAGTCTGATATTTTGATATGCTTTTAAACATGAAACCACATCTGCTTTATACCACAACTTTGGTAGAATTCCAGAAACGTTTGGTCTGGTCTCTGTTATAAGCATTTAAATTAGCTAAGTTACAGTTATCTCACCATTTATTTTTTTAAACCTTCAATCTTTGAACTTGCCCCACTTAATTCTCCCTCACACTACTCCTCAATACCAGCTTCCCTTTATTTTCTCACTATATCTAGTTAGTGGAACACTAATAGAAGTTTAGTTTTAAATTGAATTTACAAACCCTCATGATCAGAGTATGAACTCAAAACTATATAAGACATTCAAGTGATTCCAATAATCATGTAGGTAACCCCACAAGCAGACGCTAATAACTGCCATCTCAGAAATCTCTTAGTACCATAAGTTTTAAGTTTTAAATGCCACAATTTAACAAAATAAAATCAAATATGACACATAATAAGCAATTAAATTGTCTACTGCTTAATCTGCTAAATTAGAAACTTCTTAAAATATGTAAAGAATGCAGAGATACTCACATATTACAGTGGACATGAATGCTCTGTATTAGACCATGCAATTTACATGGTTTATTGGGATTATTATATGGTTGAACAGTCTTGGGGGCCATAGATACAGTCATCTCCAAACTGCCAATCTGTCCCACTTAATGTTCCTTATTTAGCCTCTCAGCTGTATGACTGACCTAGATGCAAATCATCCAACGTCTAACATTCTGCCCTTGAGTAAAACACTACAAGTACCTTATCGTGCCTATCCCAAGAGAGGTGGAATTAAATACTAGGTCAGGCAAAGAGCATTCCCCAGTTTAAGGGTGATCTATCAGGTTAAAGAGTTTATACACCACCTTGGGTCATTTAGTCCATCCATGTAACATTCCTGGTTTTAGTGGGTCATTGAGTGCAGCGGTGTCTAAGCTCAATTATCATGAGTTCATGGTACAGAATTCAAGTAACTTTTTAAAGATAACAGAAGTGTCACTGCGTGCACATGGATAACTGTATTATAATGTCGACTCCTTGTTTTAAATAAAGAAGGCTCTAGTCTGTTTGGAAACTAATTAGAGGAATTAAAGAAAAAGTGGCATTTTTGCCCTATTGCTCCTTGTTTTTATTTATTTATAAATGCATTTATTCATTTTAAAATTCACATTAGTTTTTTTATTTATGCATAAGAAAAAGTAAGGACTACTTTCTCACATGGGGAGCCTGATCAAGTTTGGCATTGGGCAGAGCTTACACAATGTTCCATTTTAGTTGCTAAGCTAATTTACCCAGAGTTAAACAGTCTAAAGAATTCCAAAGCAGGCAAACTGCAGAGCTAATTTACCCACAATTAATCAGTCTAAAGATTCCCACAGCAGGCAAATTGACTATTCACTGACTTCAGGTAAAAGGGTTTTTCCCCCGCCATAACTTTCTTAGTTTGAGCTCCGCAAGTAACGCCAAGCCTCAATAGCAAGCCAGAAACCAACCTAATGCTGGCTGGGCTGCCAAAAGGATGCGTCACCCCTGGCACCAGGGCCCTCTCTACATTAGTACCAGCATTGCGCTTGTGGACCCGCGGCAGCGTGAATAGTGAAGAGGAAGCCAGCACATGTGATCTTCAACTCTCATGAGGCCGCAGCCACTACACAGATCGTCCACTACACACACCCTGTGCATCCACTACACATGCACTACTATGGTTGCCACCTTTCTTGGGAAAAATACCAGCCATGCTAATTTGCATAATTGCAAAAAACTATAGGTTTGTGTTACAGGCGCTTACACAGTGAAAAGATACATTGTATTAGTAAGCTGCAACCACCTCTGTGTGAATGTCCCTCACATTTACTGCAAGTAAAATAAAAAAATAAAAAACTTTCACTGTGTGGTATATACACCCACCCCAGTGGAGCGCTAGAAATTTAGTCATTTACCCTATAATTTCGGTAAGTTTTAATGTCCTATAATGACAAAAATACTAACATAGTGTAGTATATTCAGTACTATACAGAGGGTATTACTCAATATTGGTACACTCACATTTAACTGAGCTCAACAGGATAGATTCAGATCAATTGGGCAGATGTGCACTATGGTGAC